TGCGCAACGAGTACGGAAGCGACGGCGCCCTCTCGCCCACGTACGCGCACGTTTACGCGTTGCAGAACGGCGTCCTGACCAAGTGTTGATGTCGATCCCCCTGCTGCGCCTCGCCGACGACTCGAGCTGGCCCCTCAGCGTGTTCTTCTCGCGCAGCCTCGCGAACTCCGCTCGCCGCTTGGCCTGCTCAAAGCGATCTCCTCGACAGCTCCGTGTTGCTGCTGCTGCGCCTGCCGCCGGCCTCGGACTCGGTGGGTCGTAGGAGGCCGTGCAGGCTGCGCTGCGTCGTCGCCCACTGCGCCTTGCGCTCCTCCCCTCGCCGTAGTTCTTCTTCGTCGTGAGGCTGTCTGCATTGTTGTTGAAACAACAGCAGAAAGGCCAGGGCGTTAGAATTCTGATTTATTCGGTACAGTACAAAATAACATGAGAATGAAACATACCTTGTTCTGCAGGAGATTGTTCCAGGCCTTGCCGCTCAACATTGCGTAGTGGATAGCGAACCCTGAACAGGTCGAGGGAACGAAGGTGACGAGGCTGTAAAGCCAGATGACGCCGGCCCAACCCCATCCGATTCCTCTGATGCGGGCAAACCGCAAAGTTCGCGAACACTGCAATCAGAGTGGCAACCTGCAACCGCAAGCAGTTTGATCTCAATACCGATCGATATGCATGGTAGGCATGCTCGATATGAATTCAGAAATGAAAGGAGATAGTAGGGTGTGGCTTACGATCTGCGCGATGACGAACGCTGCGCACAGCCAGAAGCCAGGGCGTTCGGTGAAGCTTCTCAACTGCGCGCGACCACGTCACGAAGATGAGGGCCTGGCTGATGATGCTCACTTGCAGGTACAGGGCAGACATCATCTCCTCGGTGTTGCTATACGCAGAGACCTCACGTGGAAGGTGTTCTGCATTGGCACACAGGAAATATTGTCCGGCAGTTAGTGATCTTGTTCTCTTTCATGCTTAATTTGGATTTCATGAAGACTGAAGAAAAGATGCTTACAGAGAAGAAGTCGGTGCTTCTCATGGCCCAGAAGAATACGACAGTCATTACAGCCATGTAGGCTCCGTACACAACGCCTGTGGCAAAGATCTCGTTCAGCTTCCAGCTATCAGGGTGTGGCGACGGTTTTACTCTTCCTTTGCGATAGTCATGATAGTGCTGAAATCATAACATATTTCTTCAGAATAATAAGTATTGAATGCATGAAATTAGTGAACAATGTGCAGCCTGTATGCCTCTGAAGTTGAACTGCAAACTTACCATCGTTCAGAATGGCGATGACCAGAATCATGAACGGTGAGAAATCAAATTTCCATATCAGTGCAATCAGTAAAAATCAAGCTGCACGTTCACAGTAAATAAGAATTTTAAACACATATAAAACCATAATCTCCCTGATTGTTGCAAGGCTTAAGTAAAAATAACACCTACAATACGAATTGTGATTGACACCGCAATATCTAACAAAAAAACAAGAGAGAATTAGGGTCCAGAATTCAGAAGTACCAAGGAATTAGTAATTTGTCGCGAAAGGAATACTTACAGTGTAATTCTTCATCCTCTGGAAGATGGCCCTGCTAGTGAGCACAGCACTAATGATGACACTGGAGCCTTCTTGAGTAAGCACAATGTCAGAGGCGCTCCCGTGCTGCATCAGTAGCTCCAGCTACGGCAATTCCGATATCCGCTTTCTTCAAAGCAGGCGCATCGTTCACACCATCTCCGGTCATTCCACAAATGTGCTTCATCTCCTGCAGCTTCTTGACAATCTCATACTTGTGCTCTGCAGCAAAAGTGCACAACTTCATCAGACTGAGTAAACAATCCAACCAATTATTAATTGCAGTACAGTTCCTGTGTTCATGCACACCTGGGAAGACGCCAGCAAAGCCATCAGCCTTCTCGATCAAGTCATCCACAGGAATCGAAGCAGTGGCTTCATCTTTGCTCTGCCCAAGCAGAGCCGATGATGGATACATGTTTGAGCCCATCCTAGCCGTCTCCCGGTCTCCTTAGCAATGGCGAGCTGATCACCTGCACATGACATTATCAGATCATGTCAGCCTAAACTTTCTCTCCTTTAGCCTTGTTTAGTTTCTCCTCTAAAGTTTACTCTCTGTCACATTGGATATTTAGACACATGCATAAAGTATTAAATATAGATTAAAAAATAACTAATTGTACAGATTGCGACTAATTTACGATACGATTTTTTAAGCCTAATTAGTCTATGATTTGACAATGTGGTGCTACAATAAACATCTGCTAATGACAGATTAATTAGGCTTAATAAATTCGTCTTGTGGATTCCTGAGGACTTCTGTAATTTGTTTTATTATTACTATTCGAACACTCCCATGTGACACACCGATGTGACATCCGATATGACATCCCTAAACTTTACCCCTTGGATTTAAACACCACCTTAGCGCCTAAAAGAGGTAGAAAGAGTAGAATTATAGACAACCAAATGCAGAATGTACCTGTGATCATCTTCACATTGACACCGAGGTCGAGCGCATGCTTGATTGTGTCAGAACTGTCCGACCTTGGTGGGTCCAGGAGAGGAAGCAGACCCACAAATTCCCATGGCTCTCCGAGGCTTTCTTTCCTCTTCTCCGGAACTTGCTGTACAAAAGCAAGATATAAAAAAAATTAAGATTAGACACACACACAAAAAGAAAAGACATAACTCACATAAGTAGAATAATCGATTGAGCATTCTGAAAATAAAATCATACCTGCCTTGCAACTGCAAGAGATCGAAGACCACGCTCGGCGTACTTGTCGATCACAGTGTGAACCAAGTTCTTGACGTTATCTCCACAGTTGCAGAGAGCCAATATCTATAGTCATGCACGCCATGGGAGTAAATAAACACAATGTATACAAAAACGAGCTATGTACCATAGCAAATTCCGTATAAAAAATAGATGGGGATGAGAAAGCCATGACTACGTACTTGTTCGGGTGCACCCTTGCTGACACGGTGCCAGATACCATCAGCGAGATCAATATAGGTGAGGGCTGTTCGCTTGTCGACGGGGTTGAAGGGGAAGAAGTGCACCTCCTCAATGCCATCCCTGGCCTCCTTTGGATCACTTAGCATGCCAACCATGGCGGCGTCGATGGCATCCTGGTTCTCCACCCTAGATGCCCTGGCAGCGAACAAGATAACATCGTCCTTTTCAACGTCCGCGGCAAAGATCTCAACAAGGCTGCGGTCAACACTGAGCTTGTTGAGGGTGAGCGTGCCGGTCTTGTCACTGCAAAGCACATCCATGCCGGCCATCTCCTCGATGGCAGTCATGCGCTTGGTGATAGCGCCCTGCAACGACAGCCTGTGGGAGCCGATTGCCATGGTGACGGAGAGCACAGTAGGCATGGCAATTGGGATGCCGCCGATCAGAAGCACGAGGAGGTTGTCGATGCCTTCACGGTACCGGCGGTGCTGGACCGCGTACATGACGATGACCTCGACGAATAAGCCAACGACGATGGTTCCTATGCAGAAGTTGCCGATGGCCTGGAGCACCTTCTGGAAGTGGCCGACCTGGTTGGTGCTATCGACAAGGTGCGCCGCCCTCCCAAAGAAGGTGTGCACTCCGGTGGCGATGACAATTGCCTCGATCTCGCCCTGCTTGCACGTGGAGCCCGAGTAGACACCGTCGCCGGGGCTCTTGGTGACCGGAAGACACTCGCCAGTGAGCGCCGACTGGTCAATCTTGAGCGCATCGCCCTCGAGCAAGCGAGCGTCAGCTGGGATGATGTCGCCAAGCTTAATGCTGATAATGTCACCCGGGACGAGGACCGCCGCGTCCTCCTCGCTCCATCGGCCATCACGCAACACCTTGGTCTTAGGCGCAAGGTTGGCCATGAGCGCCTCTGCGGCGCTCCCGGCATTGTTCTCCTCGATAAATGAGATGGTGGAGTTGAGGATAAGGAGCACCACGATGCCGACAAAATCTTGCCAGTCCGGCGGCCTGTTGTCGCCGTTGGCAAGCGCAATGGCCATCACAGCAGCAATCTCCATCACCCACGATAACGGATTGTTCATAAACATTAGGAACTTCAACACCTTGTTCTCCTGCAAACACGATGATGGACGTACGACACTGTTATCTTATTTGCTATCAAAGTACACGTATATTGCAGATTAAGTAATATTTTTGGAACACCTAATTTTATCAGATTATGTGTCAATCAATCAATCACACTATAAGAACAAGTACTGATCTGTTTATGGCAAAATGGTATGTAAAAACTAAGTAACTCAGCCGTCCTCGCATATATATATATATATATATATATATATATATATGACATAAGCTAGAAAGCTAATGAAAATTGAAAACTCTTCTGGTAGGCTATTTTGACTTGTTTTTCCCTAGATATTGCAAAGATCTGGCTTCATTAAGCTATTTTGACTTAAAACATCTTACCGCCACACTAGTCATGTAACAACAACACTAGTGGACACCATTGGATCATGGTGTTGCAAATAACCAGCAATATTAGTACTTTCAGTTTAATACATAATAATGTCTTCCACTACTTGTGTTTTTTATGACATATTAGTATTTGTCTTGATTTTAAGATCGAGAGACAATGAATAAAAGGTAAAATATGAGAAAATAATATAGGATCGATAATGACCTTTCTTTCTTCTAATTTATTGGGACCAAACATGGTGGCGCGTGTCTGGGCTTCATTGGAGCTGAGGCCTTCCTTGCTGCATTTGAGGAAGGTAAATACTTCGTCCATAGGGATGTTCTCCTGCGAAAGTAATAGATGTGTGTACATGTGTTAGATTCAAACAAAGAACACATGCTTACTCAACACAACGAGGGCTAGACTGATTCGAAAATAAAACACAAAACAGATCAAATTGATAAATAAGAGTGCGAGATCTTAATCTAACCAGATCCACTGTCTCTGTCTTGATCTGCAAGAGATTTTCCACGATGATGGCCGCCATGGATGGAGGTGGACTAAACCCTCCCCTCGTCGTCTAAACCCTTGCTGTCGCCTCTTTCCGTCGGTGATGTCAACTAGAGAGAGACTACAGAGATACGTGGTGTCGACTAGAGAGGACGAGATGAGATCCGGTCTTGTGTTTATATAAGGGTCCGCACGCCGCGAGTCCGCGCTTGTTACGGGACGCGGACGGAGATGACGTACGAGGAGTAATCATCATCATAATCATAATCATAATCATTTTTTTTAGCAACAATCATAATCGTATAGTCTTTTTTTTTTTTGAGGATTTAAGGAAAATCATAATCGTATAGCCGGGAGTTTCTCTGTGCCGCCAAGGCCCAATCAAGATATCCGGACCGCACAGATAGCTCCAGCCCACCACCAGCCCGAACCCCACCCACCCGGACCCTACTCGGCAAAAGGAAACCGAGTAACGCAAGCGGCAAGCAAAGCTGAGCGCTCGAAGGAAACCCTGCCGCCACATCCGGACGACCCGCCCACCGCCTAGAACCCGCGTCCACCGTTCGCCTCCTCGATCAACGGCCCCGATCCTCTCCTCGGATCACCGGACGAGATCGGTCGCCTCCCGCCAGTTCCCAAACCCACCACGCGGCCGGCCGCCGAACGAAGGAGACCTAACCTGACCTGACCTCTCGCGCCGCGGCGCGCCATATATTCCGCCAGCCTCTCGTCTTTTTCCTCCACGCTTCCCTGCCCTTCCTCGCTCATCAAGCCAACAACCACCGAATCGAATTCGTCTCCTCCTCCTCGCAGCAGCCGCCGCCGCCTCCTCCTGAGGGCAAGAAGCGAGCGCTCCGCGGATCCCCAACCCGCCCCCCGCCGCGCGCACCCGTGAAGACGACGAGCCCCTCGTGAATGGTGGGAGCCCGCGCGACGTCCGCCGCCTCGCAGCCGCAGCCGGAGAAGGCCTCCTTCCGCGGCTTCGGTTGCTGCATGCAGGGCTGGTACCACCGCTGCATGGGCCTCGACCCCTGAACCACTCGCTCCCTTGCTTCCCCGCGCCGGCCGTCGCTGCCTCCGCTTCTCTGATTTGATTTGATTTGATTCGGTTGATTCCACCGATCCCCCTCCCGTCCTGGATCTGTTGCTCGAGAGCTCGGCAGCGCGCGAGATTCGTCGCTGAGCGCCGCCGCCGCTGCTGATGGCCCCCGCGGTGCCTTCGTCGCTGCCGATGAAGCTCTGGAGGTCGGAGCCCCGCGGTAAGTCCGCCGCCGCGGGGCCCGACGACCCCGTGCGCGTCCTGGTGACGGTGACCGTCCTCGGGAGCGCCGGCCCGCTGCGCTTCATCGTGCTCGAGGGCGACACGGTCGCCGCGCTCATCCGCGCCGCGCTCCGCTGCTACGCGCGCGAGGGCCGCATGCCGCTGCTCGGCACCGACCCCGCCGGCTTCGTCCTCTCCACCGCCAACGGCGGATCCGGCGGTGCGAATCGGCATCTGTTACCCATCTCTTCCGTCGGAATTTGGATCTGCTTTGCTTTCTTCTCGGCTCTCTGACGCACGATTCGATTCGATCTCATCTGTTTGGTCTCTTGTGCCATGCCTTCCCGTGCAGCGCTCAAAAAAGACGAGAAGATCACCTTCAACGGGTGCCGGAGCTTCCTGCTCTGGCAGAAGGATGCGGTCCAGGGTGCCGCCAACCACGCCGGGCCCGACGCTCTGACGGCAACCCCGAGCCCCGGCAGGAAGGGCAGCGGTGGCTTCAAGGCTACTCCAAGCCCTGGCAGGAAAGGCAGCGGCGGCTGGAAGGCTGGCCTGAACAAGTTCCTCCTCAGCTTCAGCATCAAGGTGTGATCCATGCATGGACGAGTGCAGGGGTGTTCTTGGGTCAGCACGGCACCACAATAAATTGCATTGGTTTGTCTGATTCTTCGATTGGATTGTTGCAGTCAGTGAGTTGGCAAAGTGTAATCCGTCGTGAGTTTTGAGTTTGACTCGAATCGAGTCAGTTGATTAGCTGCTCTGTTTCCAAATTATCCGGTTCATTTCATCTCTTGTTGAAGGTTCTTCATTTGAGTTGCATCAATAATCAATTTGTTCGTGAAGTGTCCAAATGCATACGTGCTGTCCAGTTACATCGTGGATCAATTGTCTGAACTGTAAGTACATCGTGAGCAATTGCTTCAGACTTTGGTTCAGTCGTTATACAAAAAGCCTATTTTTTGCTTATATAGCTACTAGATGTTCATGAATCTCAATACTAGATTGTTCATGAATCTCAATTTAAGCTAGGCCATGTCTTTTAGCATAAGTGCTGAATGCGCTGCTATTCGAACCTGATGAGGGTGCCTGCAACAAAGGAGTTCCTCCAGGGATCCCTCAACTCAAAGCAGAGGGCACTGGTGGTTTCATCGGCTTGTATTGTTGTATTCATACTTCTATAGCTGCAATTTCAGAAGCAGCTCAAAACATCCTGCTTAGAAAACACTCATTTATTATAGGGCTTCATTATTCCCCGGTCTTTAAGTATAAAATACGAAGACGGCTAAATAGCAGCACCACGATGGGATACAAATCTTCATTCATTATAGGGCTTCATTATTCCCCTGTCCTAAGTATAAAAAAATACGAAGACTGCTAAATGCATTGCAGCACCACGATGGGGTACAAATCTGAAGTGGGCATGCCGAGAGAGCTGTCACATACAAATCTGAAGAGAGCCGTTCTTTGTTCTAAATAAATAAAAGATCCAAAACACTTGCCTAAAAAACAAACCCAAGCTAAACACTCCAACCATTACAATTTACAGCAACCTTCAGAAGAACAAGAAAAGGCATCTCTGAATTGATTACAGAGTCACCAAGGCGAAAGCACCTCCCAGCTTGATCATTGGTTCTGAATCTTCCAACTAGTATGCGCAGAGCTCTCCACAGAATTGCAAACTTGCACAGTAGATCAGTCGCCAAAGCATGGAAACCATTGATCATTCCTTCCAAGTGCTTCCTCTTGTATATAGGACATTGAATCTTCCTACTCTGCATCAGATCAACTATTTTCTTATTGTTGCTTAGGAAACACTTGTAAATAGTCTAAACCCATCATGTGAGTACCATCCCTGCTATCTACGGTGCATATATGCTATAAAAAGTATTTTTGCACATATCCATGTGAAAAACTTTGCTCCTGCACCTAAATTATGTAAGCATGTTATAAGAAAGAATTTGGGTGTTTTAAATGAGTTCCACACAGAAATCAGAGGTGTTGCAAGGATACTGTAATAATTAGGAATAAACACTTACTGAAGGTGGCAATATATGTAAATTACCATGTTAATTATGTACTAAAATCATATTACCGAAAACAACATTCTTAAAAAGAAAAGGTTTGAGATGAATCCGAAGAATCCGGCTAACATAGAAATATACAGTATATTTACAGTATATTAGTCAATAATAACCAGCAGATCCTGGCTGTTTTCGTTCCAAAAGAAAAAGTAAAATATAGATGTTCCTATCAATTATATTGATTACCTTATGGCATGTTTATATCCATTAGCACTAAAAATTAGCAGCTAAAATTATTAGGAAAAAATCCATTTTGGCCTCTAACTATGGCTGCAGTTTATTTCTCAGACCAGCTTGTTAGAGGCTAGAAACAAACCTGCAGCCATAGTTGGAGGGCCAAAATGGACTTTTTCCAAATTATTACTAGTGGATCTAAATGCAGACACGCTAATTATTAGTTGGAGGGTTGTTAACTATTAGTTTCATTAGCGTGGATTAGAATTGCTAATAGGTGCTTATAGTTCATATGCACATTCAACTCACTATCTATCCACGTATTAGCAGGTGGATCCAAACATACCCCTGCTAAAAATTAGTAGCTACTAGCTATTAGCTAGCTAATTTTTAGTGCTAATAGATCCAAACAAACCCTTACGCTGCAGATCCACCTGCATTACACAGCAGAAGAGTAAAAAACCAGTGTGCATTACACATCTATTCAATCCTCAGCTATCCGTACATGCAATTTCTAAGACTGCCTATGTTGATTACCTTATGCCTTTCTCTTAGACTGTCTCCAACAGCCGACGCATCACGGTACCCAAACCCAAAATGCCTACTCCACGCCGCTTTATCGGAAAAAAACATGGTCCAACAGACGATGCAAACGACGGACCCATTTTGGGTGGGACACGAGAACACAAATCTGCGTCGCGCCGCATGTCTGGCTCCGGTCACGCCCCACAAAATGTTGTTGCCGTGACTTTTGGGTTCTCTATTGGAAAAGACAACATTTAGGTCGGTGACCCTTTGCCACAGCATGACCCAAATCATCAAATGCGTCTCCTATGTAGGTCCGTGCTGTTGGAGATAGTCTTATAGGAAGGTTGTACTTTCACTAATCTACTTTGCCGTCTTACCATTTTAGTATACTACACGCTCCCCCATTGTTCAATATAGTGGATTTTCAGTTGTACTTAGTCATATTATTCTAAGTATCGATCAAGTTTAAAGAAAAGAACAATTATATTTACAATTTGATGTACTCCCTCCGTCCTAAGCTATTGGTCAAACTTGATATGCTTCGACTCTCTAAGAAAATTGAAATGACTAACAATTTATTTAGGACAGAGTGAGTATACAGTAAATAAATGTTAATATTCTTGTTTACAAATCTAGTCAAACTCGAGATGGTTGAAATTAGGACAACTGAAAATCCGTAAGTAACTAAGTATGATCATCTGTCATACATGTCCCCGCATAGACATGCATTTTCCTCCTCTGTTGTGTTGGTATGCTAGATGAAGCCACACAGTGATACCATGAGAAAAATATCAATCCATGTTATGTTTTTGCTCACCGAGATTAGTATCTCCTGCTACGAAGAACCAATTCGATGTAATTTCAGTTCAACAGCTTAATTCTACCTTACATGTCAACATTACATAGATTACCAAGTAGAGTAAAATCGAGATCTATGGGGTAACGAGGACGTGGGGAATAGGGAGTGGATGGGTGCCAAAGCTAACTTGCAAT